TGTAGTTTTAAGTTATAACCATTTATTTCAATGCTTTTAAAGTCTAGAGTTGTTACTTTAGTTAGTATAGTTGGGATTGGAAACTAAGGCTTTATTACTACAAGTACAACTAAGTTTAAAGTTAAGATATTATGCTTAATATTAGATCATTAAGAATTTTTCTCCCTTTAGTTTTTAGGTAACTACTGCTACTAGTACTGGGTTATAGGACAATAAAGCTATTAAATAGTAATTGAAATAGAGTTTTCACTAGTTTTAGCTAAGTATAAAGGTGAATTTGTTTAACTTAAAAGATTAAATTGCTGTTTGATAACTGTTGAGTATTTATTACATTAGTAAATTGTTTAAATTAGAATTTAGTATGTTAACATGTTCACGACATCGTGCACCACCGGGGGTACATGTGCATGTTTTCTGTTAGATGTTGTGAACCACTCATGGTACACAGCACCCATAAGATATAACTGTACCTCATATTTCAAGATCTATATGAAGCATATATTTTATACAGATAGCTATAATAAAGCCACACCTTCCATCATGTATCACTGGTGGAGCACGAATGCCATGTTGAAAGGACAACTGAAATAAAACAAACTTACATGACTAAATCACTTTTTATTTTAAAATTACATCTAGAGATTGACATTACATTTTTCATTGTGAATAATCGAAGCAAAAAAACACTAATTGAGACTTCTTTCATAATAAAAAGAAAACTGTTATGAAAATGTAATAAGGATAAAACTATTAACATACACAGTAGGGATTATTTTATCTGATGTCTCTTTTTTACACCCATAAAATTGTATCATTATTCATAATTCTTCTAAACAAATGGGAATATTAGGCTGAAAGAAAAAGTGTTAATTAGGGTCTTTGAGGGCTGATACAGGAATGCTAAGATTTAATGATTATGGGAAGGCTAAGTTATTAAAGTAAACTTTTTCTTCAGTTTTTAGTAATGAAGATACAAGCAATATTATTTATGCTAAACAGTTGCTAGATAGAAACAAGATTGAACAAGATGATCATATTAATTCTGAGGTTTTTAAGAAAAAAATTGTTAACTTAAAGAATGATAAACCTCCTGGGCCAGGTAATATTTACCCAAGACTTTTGAAAGAGTTTAAGCATTAGATATGTGAGCCCTTTGCTACTATTTTTTCTAAGTCTTTGAATAGTGGGCAGGTGCCAGAAGATTGAAAGTTGACTAATGTTATTCCACTTTTTTAAGGGAGGTGATAAAAATTGTTTCGGTCATTATAGGCTTATTAGTCTTATCAGTGGTGGGAAAAGGTTTTGATAGTCTGATTTAAAAAAAAATTGCTTAGCAAAGTCATTTAACATAGTTTAAAATTTTGTTGGATAGTCAGCATTGTTTCACTAGGGGAAGATCTTACATTTAGACATACATTGAAGAGGTTACTGCTTAGGTGGATGAGGGTACCAGTGTGGATTTGGTTTATCTAGATTTTCAGGAAGTATTTGACGAAGTGCCACATAAAAAGGCTTATTAAAAAAAATATCTATAGTGTGGGGGATAGGTTGATTCATTGGATTGAAAACTGGCTAGATTGAAGAAAGAAGAGGGTTGGTATAAATGGAGTTCAGTCAAGTTGGATTAATGTCATGAGTGTGGGGACCTCAAGGCTCAGTGTTAAGACTCTTTGCTCTTTTTGATTTACATCAATGATGTAGCTGTAGGGATGGTCAATAAATTATTTAAATTAGCTGATGATATTAAGGTCTTTGGTGTTGCTGGCTGTGAGGGAGATGCTGCTGCTTTACAAAAGGATTTGGTGAGTTGGGCAAATGAATGGCATTTAATTATAATAAATGTAAGGCAATGCATGTGGAATATCACAATTTGAATTATGAGTACAATTCTGATGGGAATAACAGTATTAGTATTATGGAAGAAAAACATCTTGGTGCTCATGGTCATCAGTGTCTTAAGCCTTCCAAGGAATTTGCTGTTGCTAGTGGCAGGGCAAATAGGATTTTATGTTCTATCTACAGAAATACTAAATATAAGTCTAAATAGTTTATAATGTCATTGTACAGGTCTCTGGGTAGGCCACATTTGGTGTACTTGGTTTGGTTTGGGCTCCTTACCTTAGAAAAGACATTAAATTGTTGTAAAGGGTTCAGAGGCGGATGACATCTGGAATAGAAAGGTTATAATACAATGATAGGTTAAGATATCTGAATTTTTCTCTTTAAAATGGATGAGTTGGAGGGGATCTGATTGAAGTGTTTAAGATTGTTAATGAGATCTTTTCTTATTTAATGATGAGAATGGTAAGACACAAATATAAATTTTGGCTGGGTAGTGGTCATAATCAGATAAGACAGCTTTATTTTTCTAACAGGGTGGTTGGCCTTTGGAATGGGTTGCTTTCAGATGTGATAGATGCAATTAATTTAAGTGTAAACTCAAATAAATATTTGAGTAATAAAGGCTGGCCTTGAGTGTTTCATTGTTGAATTTAAGTTAGAGGATAGGATAGCCTAGATAAATCAAAAGTTCTCTTGTTTTCCTTTAATTTTATGTCATGACATTGAATTAATCCAATTTTAGAGAATTCTACTCTTTTCATCAGTAAATCTAGATGAGCATAAATCAAATAAAAAAACTAAATTTTTTGTATTTGCTGAACATTATGAGAAGTAATTAATGTTATGTAGATAACTCCCTTTAATGTAGGTTATTTGCATAGAAAAAAGTACATTATTTATGCTATACATGCATTAATGCTACAATGTTTATATTTAAGAGGTAATTCCCAGAGTGGCAGATGTTATGTATGTAGCTTCAATCCTCTATAGACCTCTCTCGTCAAATCACGTATTCATTTTAAATGTGTGTGTGTGTCTGTTTTATCAAATATTTATATTTTTTCAGAATGACATAAAATGGTTGAGCACAGTATGTACAGAGTTTGGAAATTTTTCATCCAAGGTAACTGCTGATTTTTTACTCTTTCAGTTTGTGGAAAATGTTATGATAAAAGGCAGTAATATCAATTGGAATGTTATTGAAGTTGTACCAGTTACACTGGGGATAATGAGATTTATTTCCTTGCTGTTCTTGTGAACATGGCATTAAGAAATACCAAGTAATTAAGTTTGTATGTACTATTCCCTTAATTATACTAACTTGCACCTAAAATCTTATACACAGATTTTACAATTTAAAGTTGTAATACAAAATTCTGTGGGTGGTTAATTCACTTGTGGCAGTAGTATTTTCATTATGTATGATTGGTTCACTTAGAGTAATAGTATTGTATATTATCCTTGGTTAGTTCACTTTTACCAATAATATTGTACATTATGTGGTTGGTTTCTTTGTAATGGTAATATTTGTTCTGTTTGTGGTTGGTTTGTTTATGATAAGTGTAATTTGATGACTTGTAACAGTAAAAGCTGAAAATGTCTATTATGTTATAAAATGACAAGTTATATGTAGTGAGCCTGTTGTTGGATATTTCAGTTTTGCACTTTGTTAGAAAGCAGAAAGTGAATAATTTCCTTGTTTATTACAGAAAAAAATCCAGTTACATTAATGATGATATGATGATTAACAAATGTAGCAAAGAATGTTTTGAAAGCACTTTATATCACATGGCTAATGCTTTTGCTTTTATCACCCTTAACACTTTTGAGACAGGTTGCGGGTGAAAGGTCATGTCATCTTATTTGTTAACTTGCTTTCCAAATTTGATTGAACTACTATTCCATGAACTTATGTCAATAACTTTGGTATCAAACTAGATTATAATTCAAAATTTAGTACTATATATTACTTAATTTCTTAATTTAAAAGCAAATATTAAAAAACACAGACATTGAATTTTGTGTTTCACGAGGTATGTTGAATGCAGCACTGGTTCAAACTAGATGTTTGAGAAGTCAAAATACTAAGTCTATAGTTTTGTACAAATTAGAAACTCAAATTACCGATATTGAAAAGCTAGAATATAAAATAAGAGCATCTTATCTTCTCAGTTTGCTAAGATATTGCTCATGTAATAAATCAAACACAGTGGCACCTCGTCCACCTCTTTCCATTTTTGGAAACGCTCCCTTATACACTTACTTCCTTATATGACATGAACAACCAATTGGAAACTCAGAATGTCCTCCTAGTGGCTTTCTCAGCCATTTTAATGGGTTTGGTGCCATTTCTTTCTTTTGAACCAATATTTCATCGAGGTAGGATGTGTCTTTAGTCTGCTCGAAATTTCATATTTTTTAGACTAAAATACATCTTAGTTACTAAGCTTGATAAATTATAGTGAAATTCTATGGTATTAGTGTAGTAATTTATGATTTTTTAGTTATTCAAATGTATGTATAAAACCTAAAAAAATATTTTGTTTCATACCCTGTACATGCAAATTTTTTTAAATGCTTAGCAATCTATGCAAAATAGCAACTGAGTACAAAGGTCCTAAATAGAAGAGATAATTCTTTGTGTTACTTCTTTAGTTACTGTCCTATGTTTTAAGAAAAATAGGTTTAAGAACTTATTTCAAAATAGCAATCATCTATATACATATGTATAATAATTGAAATGTGATTATTTTACAAAATACTAGTCTACTAAAACAAAGCCAAGACAAGTTACTTTGTACAGACCAAAGGTCAGTTTTATGTTATCTGATACAGTAACATGAGTGCACGAGCTGCGTCATTGTAACTTCTGTATTGTTATTGAGGCATGGCTAAAAGGTCAATATAATAAAAATAATAAATATTTATAAATGTATAATATTATGAGATTTAGTCTATTTAGTCTGAACATTTTTATTTTTGTGTTATAATTTATGTTCATTCTAGAATGAAAGAGGCATAATTGGTATTTATTTCCTAATTTTTTATGGTGGTTGAAAGACTAGTCAAATCTACCGAACCTGTACAGAGATTAATTACTGAAAATAACAGATAAAATATAAACTATCTGGCCATTATAAAGATGTTGTATGTGAAATTTCAAAATTTTCTGATGCATAAAATTATTTTTTATCTTCAAATAAATATTACTTTGGATGATAGATAGCCAACATGTGAAAATAAATAAAAGACAGGAGAAAAACAATGCTTTACAAACCTTAAGACTTAATGAAAAAAAATATTTTGAATATAAAAGCATTGTAATGTTTACTGATAATCTGCCAAATTTCTTTAACATTTGTTTACTAATTTAAATGTTATAGCATGAAAACTATAACAAGCACAAAATGGTTATGAGGTCGGTCCGAGGGACCGAGCCCATCCTGAAAGAGTTAAGTGGTGATTTGAGAGAAATTTGGAAGATGTAAAAATGTAAAGCTAAGTGAGTGAATGCTGAAACAGTTGATGTGACATTGTGGTACTATAACCTATGTATTAGCTTCTACCATGGGTTTACCAATATACATTTTTTTCTTGCAGTCAACAATGCATTATTCAGTTGGAGATTGTTTTAAGCTTGAAGTATTAAAATGAATGCAACATTTATTGTTCATTGTTAATGGAGTGTATTCAACAATTGTTACCACCAATATTTATTACTTGTTACAATATTTCAGGACTCTGAGTCTTAAGAATTAAATATTTGGAAGCTGTTGGTCCAGATACGTTTCACTTAATGTTAATAATGAGTGTTTAACACAATAGTAGTTTATTTCATGCATTCAAATTAGAAGAGCTATAAAAATGTGCTGTTTTTTCAGTGTCAACAATTTGTTGAAAAATACCAGACATTATTCATCAAACTAAGCACGACAAAGCTTGTAAGTATTAATCTTATTTGTAATATATTACTTGTCTTTTCTGCTTCATATGTGAAGATTTTAACCTCATCATTGCCAAGTTGTATCTCAAAAAACAAACTGAAATAATATGTTGTTATTATGGTCAAATGGGATTTGCTAAAATGTTTGTTTTGTAGCTAAAACTGAAGTATTTCATTAAGTAAAATGAATAGATCAAAGAAAAGATGAACATTACATCCATCCTGTCTTCTCACAGTGAAATATGATTCAAATCCCTGATTACCTTATAGTTAAATTTTAAAGATCTTGAACAGTAATAACATTGATCAGGTGGAGTGGAGATAGAGAATTTGTAAATTGCAACAAATATTAACTTAGTTTGAAGAAGCTGAGGTGAATCATATAGACTTCTCTACAAAAAAAAGGAAGTCAGGTTATAAAATATTAAATATCATATTTCATGTTCTTTAGAAAACACAAAACAGTGTAAGTTGTCAAATCTTAAAAGCTGAATTAGTGGAACCTTATGATTTGTTGATCTATAGTTCAGCAAATATATCATTCTGCTGGGAAGAACAAGTAGCATGGAATCTGATTAGCTTAGGCACTTAGGATAGTGTGAAAAGAACAACTTCTAGTTATATTTGTATACATCTGTATTGTAATCAGGTATGGGTTATCAGTGAAAGAGATGTAGGAGTGTAGTTAAGTTGGTAATTTTATAATTAGTTAAAGATATTTAAAATGTTGAACCTCAGAAACTGAAAGATTAATTTTTGGGGGTGGTGGTAGAAATGCTTTAAATACAACGTACAAATGTATGTTTGTATGTGAGTTTGTGTGTGTGTGTGTGTATATATATATATATATGATTTTAAATTCTTTTTTTACTTTTATCAGTATATTTTGTATACCTGCTATTTCTTGGATAATAAATACTATTTAGCCTTTCACTTTAACTGTTGTTTTTAGCCTGAAAGTTAGTTACATTTATGACACTTTAGATATTTTACAAAATAACCAGTGTCTTAAAATGTGTATCACAGGACAGGAAAGATGATCACTACAATAACCAAACAAAAACATTTTAATCCTCCTTAAGACTCTTACTACCATAATGAAAATCTAATCTGTAAACTTGTTATTTAGTGCTTAAATTATTTATATACATGTTAGTTTTCTTGTAAACTTTAGAGCTTTGACACTTTAATGCCTGTCTAGCATGTTTTGATTCAGCACAACTTAAGTTGTAATTGTAATATTGTGGTAGTTTAAACTGATATGAAATGTTTTCTTGTGTGAGTTATTAGATTGAGGAAAAAATATTACTCAAGTTACTGTGGAAACAATTAGGATTGAAAATGTTTTTATTTGTGGAGATTTCTGCTTTATAATGTTTTATGTTTAAGAATGAATTTTTCTTCTCTGATGTTTGATAGATTACAGTAAAGAAATCGTTTAATTTATTATGTAAAGATAAAAAAGTAATGCTGGCATAAGCATTCAAGGTAGTGGTATAAGATCTCCAGTAGATACAGCATTTCACTATGTCTTGTAGCTTTATGAGCTCCAGTAGATACAGCATTGCTTAAATGTTCATCTTCAGAATAAATAACACTTAAATTTTTTTATGCTGTTCCTGTCTTAAGAAGGTATATTAATATAATGGTTTTGGTAATTTCAGAAACCAAAAATATTTTGTCCATCTATCAGTATGTGTCCAATCAAGGCAACATCAAAGGTAAAACTTTTGTGAAGACTTCTGTGTTTAATGTTTTTAAGCTAGTGGTTAAGCTAAGATAATGTTTAGGCAGAATTTAAAGTAATATAATGTTTTAAAGCAGTACTCTTCCAATAGAAATTGAAATATGGTTTAATTCAGTACCAGTATTTATCCAGCTAAACTTGAGGTGAGGTAATAAACAAATGTAATTTCATGTTACAATTTGAAGTCATTCTAGAAAGAAAAAGAGGGTAATTTAGATTTATTTAGATTTATTTTTTTTTGGTGGTTACGAAGTTGGTCAAATTGACCAACCTTGTATAGAGTTAGGGTAGAGTAAATAACAGGTAAAATATAAAGTTTTACTGAAAACAAACATTTGAATGTATTTAGGAGGTTTTAGAGATTACACAAATGAAATTTGAGATTTTTGAAATGAAGGAAAGTTTCTAATCTCAACATGAAAATCAGTTTACACAAGGACTATTCAAAACAAATACTCTATATTTATGGACAAATCTTTTTTTAGTTTATTAAAAATACTGTACTAAAAATATGATTTTTAATATATGAAAGACTTATAATGTTTACTGAAAGATAGCCAAATTTTGTGAAGATATACACACTATAATTAAAGTTAGTAGTGTCAAACCTATAAATACTTTGAATGAGTACAAAGAGATCATGTGGTCGGGCAAGTTGACCGAGCCTATATTGAGAAAGTTAACTGTTAGGGTCTTTGCAGCCTTTGCTTAATTGATCTCCTTATCCTCCCCTTTCTACCAAATATCCTCTCTCCTCAGTTAGGAATGGTCTGTGGACTATGATCTTCATTTGATTTGCTTTTGGTATTACCTTACCATTCATGAAACAACCTTAATTTCTCAATCTCTTTTTGGTTTTCATCATCATTTATATTCTTTTCCTTATATTTTACATGTATTCTTTATTATATCTTGTTTTCTTACTCCCTGATCCCTGGAGTTCACCTTATCTTTTTTCTTTACTTTATAATGTTTTCTTTCTCACACCCAAATGCCTCATCCCTCTCATGTTAGTAATTATTTGGGCAACTGAGAAAGGGAATGGGAGAAAGTATACAAATCAGGACCAGTCATTGGTATCTGTTTGTCCAGCTAAGAGATTGGGCTTCTGACCTTCTATTTCATTTTTTGGTTCCCCATTTTGTCTTTTTCTCTCTATCATCCTGTATTATCTTACCTAACTTTACATTTTCTCTGAGACATTTCTTCATGCTTCAAATGGACTCTTTGGGTCGAGTTACGTACTTCTTTACTGTACTCCTTCCTTCTTGTGCTCTTGTTATTTGTCTGGTTCCTTTTCTTTGCCTAGGTGTCTTCTTTGGGGTTGCTTTTCTCCCAGTGCCCTGGTCTGATGTTATATGACTTCTTTTTGACATTATCTTTCCAGGTTTTTTCATCTGTCTCTACCTTACCCTTTACTCCTGTTCCTCATCTAGATTTATATGATTCTAACTTTTCCGTTTCAAATTTCAGGCCTTCCTCTTTTTTTCCTCGTCTTCCTTTTATGAGAAGCCTAGTTTGTTACTTGTCATTGACTTTTACACACTTATGACCTTGTGGGTGCCCATCTCTTCACCTGCTCTTGGTCTCATTTTCTACAGAAAGTCGCTTTTTATTTCTCCTCCATGGTCTCTTTTTTTTCATTCCTCTTCATTTCCCATTTCCTTTTCACCTACATCTGACCCATTTATGATACAACTTATCTCTCATGGGGTTTATTCTTGGTTGCACATACCTCTCATAGATGCATTTGCTACTCTTCTCAACTCTGGACTTTCTCTCTTATTACCATATTCTTCATCTTTTGACTCTGGTAGTTGATTTTCTCAGTCAGACCTGGTCTCACCTCTTCCTATATGCCTCCTTTGGTCCTCAGTATTCTACACTTCTTAGATCATATTTTTGGTGTCTCTGACCAGCTCAGACTTGGTCTTTTTCTGTCTTGTTTAATCCTCACACATCCCTTCTTCATCAAGGGATGCCCCCCCCCCCCCCATCCTCATGCATGAAATTTGTCTAATCTGTCACCCATCAGACCAGGCTTTTCTGTTATCTGGCACTTTTTTGTTATTTTCTTGATGCCCTTCCACTGCATTTATTTATATCAATGACTATGGAAGGTCTTTCTGCCACTCCTTTCATCCTGACTGTCATACAGTGAACCATCTTTCTGCTTTTTTTACCTGACTGTTTGTCATTGGCTTATTGGTCTCTGCCTACACTAGTTGTCAGGAGGCTTTGTCCATGACATTTCTCCTTTCCCAATATCAAAAGGTGTTTATTCCTCTGTCCTCTGCATTCTTTTTCACTCCTTCACTCTCCTCTGTCTTCCTCCATTAACTCCTATGCCTCTCTGAGACCTTAATGAGATTTACACAATCTTATACTTGCCTCATTCAAGCCATCAATTTTCCCTATTTCTCATACTATCTTTCTCTCCTCCTCCCTCTTTCCTGTGATTACTGTTGTTCAGATGTCTACCCTATAGATGCTTTTTTCACTCTCTTCCACTGCACTCTTCCTCAGATTCATTAGGAGGTTGACCGTACTTCTGTCTCTCACTCATGGGACCATTTGGTCCCAGCTCGGCTTCTGTGTTCTATTAGGCTTTTCGGAGTGCCTTGTTACAGACTTATCTCTTTCTACACTTACTGGTTGGGTCCATCAACTCCTCTGGTTGGTATGTTCTTTTCAGGATGTTGATGCTCACAGAATATTTCACATTTCTTTGCATTCAGTTTGTCACTTTTTTCATTCTCATGCTTCTCCTCTTCACTGGCCCTAGGATGTGCTCCTTCAGGTGGGCATGTAGACACTCTCCACACATTTGTCTCCTACTCTACACCTTCTGGCTGTTTTTTCTCCTGATGGTTTTTGGCTTCCACAGTTTGCCATTCTTCAAATTCCCCATCTTCTGGGAAGTTGGGTCTTACTTCTGCCAATACATCTTAAAAACCAGGGTACATTACATAATGACCCACTTTATGATTTGTGCCCTGATGTTTTATGTTTGTATTATGTTTATTATCCAAAAGAACTTTTGTTGTTGTTCATGAAGTAACATTTAATTATATATATATATATATATATATTGTATACAAGTCCTGTTGAGGCGTGTACACGAATCCATATTACATAACAAGGTGCCCTCTTCCTGCATCTGGACTATGTCCCATAGAGTCTGATGGTGGAGTTGAAGTGAGCACAGAAGATATGATCTGAATGTATCCCCAACCACACTACACATATTGACTATCTGACTGCTTGTGCACAAGTTCTCAGATGGTCATGTTTATATTTTACCTTTTTCTTTTATTGACAAAGATTATACCCAGGGTGAGACAAGATGTGGCCTCCCACAGGTGTGCCCTTATGGGGCCCTTGAAACTGAGTGTCACCCTCCATGGGCTTCCTTTGGGTGTTTCCTGAAGAATGCTCATCTTAATAAACTTTTAGCTAAACTGTATGTGGAGGTGAGGTATTGTCTCGGAAATTATTTTCCTTACCTGAACATGTATTTCTGATAGATACTCACTCCTTTCACACATTCTCCCCACTTTCAGTGGACCTTTTATTTTTTCTTTGCCTTGTTAAATAATGAAGTTTCACGAATGCAAGTGCACAGAGGGAGTTATTGCACACGGAGGTGTATCACCCTCCTTTAAGTGGAGGGCTTTTGTTGCAGCCATCATGCAGTAGTACAATTCATGTGAAATTAGGTGGGAGTTGCTTCAAGGCTAGTGGCATGCAAATCTTTGGGAGATGCATGAGGAAAATAGCTAACTGTGTAAGAATATGAGTATCTGTTGGAAATACATTTTCAGGTAAGGAAAATGCCAACTTTTGTACAGTCGATAATGTTTAAGGCAACGTTTGACACACACTGACAAATTTCATACAAGTGATGTTTAAGGCATTTATTGTGATTTAATTGCTTTTGAATGAGTGTTTCTCCAAAGATGATTGACATAATGCCAGACTTCATGTATGCTAACTACACAGGTTTGTGTAGTTTGTGTTATACTGCACTAGTGTATATTGCCATATTTTGAAGATACTTTTGTTTGAATGTGGATTGTAACATGTTTGCTAGGAAGAAAAAATTACTTGCACAGTTTTAAGTACTAAAGCAAAATCTACTGTTAAAATATATTTTTGTTATTTATTAAAATGTTTTTCAAGGGTAGCGAAATAAGATCTCATTTGTTAGATAAATTGATTTTCCTTTTTAAAGTATGTCGCCTGTTTATCATCACCTATATCAAAAGGAATAATCTAAAGTTCTATTCTTTTTTTTTATTTATAATTGAAAATCTGAAATTTTACTTTAATAGGGTTCTTCATCAGTGGAAGTGTGTGAAATCTGTCAGAGTGTTGCTGCTGATCTTCAAGAATTATTGACAATCTACCCCCTCACTGTAAGTGTAAGATTAACTGTTGAAAAATATTAAACTTGTAGTATAAATTAATATTGTATTCTATAAGTCAAGCAATCTTAGTTAAGAGGATCAAGTTTAACACCAGAAAGAACTTACTATTCATTAAAATATATTATCAATGTTCACCAATTATATAAGATAGTTGGTTACTGTGAAGATGTAGTAAACTCTGGTAAAATGTTTGAATATTATTATCATAACAGTTTTGCTTTTAGTCGTAAGGTCAAAAGTGTGGGCAAAAATGTAAAATGCTCAGTGTTCTTCATATTAGTTTTTTTAATAACTAATATGCTCCTGTTATTATTTATTTCAGGGTGAAATAGAAAAGATGTTATATAATATGTGTGACGACGTTGGAAGATTTTCTGAAACTGTAAGATATTTTAATTTAGTTTTGTTACATGTAAATTTTAAACTGAAAAGACAGAAGAAATAAAATTAAACAGATAATTGTTAGTGTTTTGAGTGTTAATGGTTAAAAGTGAGTTATCTGGTATACACAGTAAAAGGTTGTTTGTTATTCACTTTACTTTGACTTCAGTACTTCCTTTTAATAAACTGTTAAGTCAGATGGTTAGAATGATTAAAGTGACATATCTTAGTATTTCATCTTTCTTTCCTAACTATAATAAAAGGTCATGAACAGTGTGTTACTCCATTAAAGTAATATCTGAAGCTGTATTTGTTACAGTGTGCAACAAACGAAGCTTGAGATTTCAAGGTATAATGCGTGATGTTTTATTTGAATTTTTCATTTTATATGTATGCTTCTTTTGTTGGTACAAGCCATTGATTCTTCTCGACTTCTAAAACCTTAATTTTAGTTAATTTTTGTTTAATAACTATATAGAATATATATTTTTATGATTTTACTGTTTCTCTTTAATATTTTGTATGAAGTGTACTAAATTATTTAGCAAAGTTTTTATAAATTATATTTACATCTTTTTTTCTTTCTTCCATAAGTGCAAAACGATTGTGAATTTTGTTGTCAGTAACTGTTATGGTTTTATCCTGACCTCTTTGGTGAGTTTTTATAAATTATTTGAAAATACAGTATGTTTAGTTGCAGTATTGCCTCAATAAAATGTATTGAATACTTTTAGTGTACAAGATGTAAGATAAATATTACTGAAGAATAAGGATGAAATGCAAATTGAACACCAACAATAATAAATCATTATTTACTGTTATGTTTATTAGTTACACTTAATTAATCAACAAGTTTATGTTAAAAATACTATGATCATTAACCTGTTTAAAACAGTAACTGTTAAATAAAGCTTTGCTTAAATCAGCTACAGTTCTTTTAGTTGGCTGAGAGGGTTCTCTTGCAATGAAAGTTTGTTACATAATTAAATTAGTATTGCATATAGGATCAAATATATTTACATAAACAGTGTGCTTTTTTTTAAATTTAAAATATAAAATTATAACAATTCTATTTAAGATATTTTATACTCCACTTCAGAACTGAGGTGCAGTTGAAAAATCTGTTTAAGTTGTAGTATATTTAATAGAATATGTAATTCAAAAAAGTCATTGTTGAAGTGGAAATAATTTCCTTGAGACATGAGGGAAGTACAATGAAAACTATCGTAGACACCAGGCAGCTTAAACTTTTTTGTAATACAAGGAAGTTTTAGTTCTTGTTTTTTACTGTAAGAAATGTTTTTTTAAAAGTACTAATTTTTTTAAAGAATATTTGTGGTTATATAATTTAATTACAAAACTAGAATATGTGCTTGAATTTTCTGAATATATTGTACTCTAACTGCAACATGTGTTACATATACATGATTACTGCTATATGTTGTGTATCAGAATTAAATACAAACAAAAAATAAGTGATCTCCAGGCACCTTGATAACAAGTAGTACAAGATAGTTGCAACTTAACTGCTTAATTAAAGGTATTCAACAGTATTCTTGTGTTAAGAAATAATAGCATTTTCATTTAAAAGGAATGATAAGTTCGTATCTTTTATCTTTTTTTAAGCTCTAGTTGAGTAAAACACAGTTTTGTAAATGAAAGACATTTGAATGTGGTTTCTTGTTTCATTGAATTGAACCTCTTTGTATTTTTCTGTTAGGATCCAGATCTGATGTGCTCATTCATAAGACTTTGCCCTAAAACTTCTATTAGTTTTGAGCAGGTGATCACTTCTTGTATCTATATAAATATAATAGTACTGTATGTTGTATGTCCATGTAACTACTTCACAGGATGTGGATGAATCTTCACCAAATTTGATATGGAGATTCATTGGGTCCATGGGGAGATACATACAAATTTCCAGTTTTGCATTTTGGGGTTTTTATGGGCAATTTTGCATTTTTTTACTATTACATATAAGGGAAGCAACTTTTCATGTCTTAAGACAACCTCTCATTCCATCCAGGGGATGGGTACTCCAGCTAGCTACTTATATATTGTTATTAGGAACAGTCTAAATACTGAAAGCTGGCAACTATTAAAAACCATTTTGAGCTGCAATGGGCAAATTAAGAGTAATGTAAAAACAGTTGTCTTTATTCTTAAAAACACTGTTTTACACATCTATTGATTTATGTAGTGTGAACTCACCATTGCAAACAATAATATTGGGCTGCGATTTAGGTAAAAATTGAATGATTTTTATAATAATTGTAAGGAACTGTTTACTTTATTTTAGAATTAAAGACATCTATTTCATGTAGTTTGAACATACCATTAAAAGCAAATATTATTGGGTTAGAATTTTGGTAAAAATTGTAAACAATCAGATGAAGAGGTGACAATTTATTTACATCTTTTCAAAATCATATCTACAATATGGTGCTCTTTATGTTTGAACAACTGTATATATTTTTTCTCTTTTTTTCTTTTTTGTCTGTGTTTAAAACTTAGTTTTTGTCAAGTTTGCTTGAATCTCCATTTACATCATTTTGCACAACTATTGCTGAAAATTGGCAAGAGAGAGAGTATTTCATTTTGAAGTCTACTTTACTCCTTGTTTTAATTACTGATACTTTAATATTTTGGTTTAAAGAATATCCTTGACTATTTATTCAATTGGTGTTTTAAATTCTTTTGAAAGCATGATCTATATTGTTTCAAGGATTTCTGTTCTTTGTTAATTTTAACTCTTTTTTTTTTTTTTTTAAATTCTAGTTTCAAACTATTTTACCTCCTTAACTTTTCTTTATACTGTTGTGTGAGAGAATCAAAAGCATTTCTTACTTAGTTTTAAAGAGTTTCTAGTTCTCTCTCAAAACTGCCATAAGATACCATCAGCAAATATTTTTTGATTTCTAACATTTCATGGAAATTTGGTTGATATAGTTTTATAACCACATTTCAGTTACTTTTTCTTTGCCTCAGATTAGTGGTATTTTAGGATTTGTTATTTAACAGTTTACTTTTGTTATAGAACAAGTTGAAACCGGAAAATAACATTTTTATTCCCCATATATTTAATTTATCTCCTCAAATGTTTTCATGTTAAATTTTCATTCTCTGTTAGTAAATTGATTAATTACGCTTCTTACATAATAAGTTAAAATTTATTTAATGTGAAAAGAAAATTTTTCACCACTAGAGTCAGTAAATATGTAAGTATTAATTTGTTATTTCAGTGGCTGAATTACATCGAATGTAATGCTTGTATGTCTGTCGTTGGTGGTGCAAAAAACGAACTCTTGGATTTTTTTCAGGCAAGTCAGACTATATATTCTCTCATTGAGTAAAGAAAAAACAAGTAACTGTTCAATAAAGGTTTACATAAAGGTTAATACCAAATTTATTTCTTAAGTGCTGTAGTTTATCTCCATATGTTTAACCCTCAACAATGTTAGAAAAGAACTAATGTACTGTATGTGTTATGTATAAACCTTTAATACACACAAGTAGTGTTAGGAACATCAAGTGGTCATTTTTAATAATGTACTTCATATACATTCTATATTCATAGATGTGTTTTTGAGCCTACATATCACAGTTAGTTCTTTTCACTTGTTCATTATAACTAGTATTGATTGTTTAGATACAAACATAAATTTTCACCATAAAGGAAATAAAAAAAATTGACAATTTCTGTTTTTTCAATTTTTTTGAGTTTTTTTTCTCAAAATGGAAATTGTAAATTAATTTATTGAGTATAAAATTTAAGAGACAAAGTAACCTTTAAGAGCTTCAAAAGTTAATTTTAAGCCCATTTATTTATTTTTCTTTCCAAATTATTATAAATTTTACAGTCTTCATTTTTACTGTAATGATACTTGATACTGTTAGTAAATTATCATTTTGTTACATTAGAATTTTGTGGTGCTGGTGGTTAATTACCATAAGAGTCAAATTTCCTTTGTTTTTTTTTTCCACAGGATAAGAGTAAAGCCAGAGATATTATATGCAGCTACTTCCCAACATCTTTCAGGGCTTATGTAAGATCTGAACATGAACTTCTTTCTTATGAAGGCCTATTTTATTTGTTCATGAACTTAATAGGTTTTGCAAACAAGTTTTTATTACAAACTAGTATTGCTCTTTGTAGAGTTTTGGATGTATATTGATTGTGCTTGTGTGTCTATATATGTATATATATTCTCTGTGAAGTCCAAGAAATTTTCATTTTTTGTTTATTTTTTACATTTAAATGGTGTATTTTCTAAGATAAGGGTATGATAAATTACTAGCTTAATGTGTTCATCCCAAATTTCTAGACATCATATAGTTTCATCCAGCTAGTACAGTCCATGTTCACAGATTAACTGGATTCCTATATTTGTCAGTGTAGTCATACCTAAATAATAAAAAAGGTATATTCAAGCTAAATGTTCTTATGTGGTTTGAAATATACTGATGAATTGAAGTACATGTGCAGTGAATATTAGCAGATAGTATATGAATGAAAATCTTTTAAATGTGTATGTTTGAAATAATGGTTTATAAGAATTAATCTGAAAAAAATGCTCAAATGCTTTGTGTCACCTGTTTATAGTTTACAAGTTTAATAGGCTTAAGTCACGTGTTTTTTTTTCTATTTTTCAGTGTTAGTGTACATGTACTAGATAACCTGTTGATTTATGCTGTTTTATTTGTTACTGCATGCTAAAACTTGTAAATATACAGAAGATGCTTTAATACTATAAACTAAACTTTTTTTAAACTTGTAATTTGTTTATTTTCATATGAGACTTCAAGAGGTGTTTAATAGTAATTAATAAAAAAAATTATAATATATGAAATCTTTGCTTTTTCATGAATTCAGTTTCAAGTTTTTTACAAAACTGATTTTCACATTTATTTAAACACAGCATCTCTTGTCGTAATCTTTACTTTTAATTACTACTGTTGTAATATTTGTTTTGGGCTTGTTTATAGTGTGAAACAGCTGTTACAGAATACATCCCAACAATTTACAAGTTTATTTACAATGTGGTAAGTATTAAGTCTCTTCTAATTTTGTTTGTTTTTTATGTGAAAAATATGAAGACTATTAAAGTTAATGTGCATATTATGTGCAACTATTAAAAGAGAGAAAATATTCTCTTAGCAAGAGAAAAACAAAAGGGAGGTGTATAACCTATGTTTAACCAACAAGGTCAAGTTTTTGTGTGTATGTGTATTCAAGTGTGGAAAGATTTTAAGAAATACATTTATATATTTAATTCAAATTAATTTATTTGTTTAGTATTGCATTGTACCAAGTAATGAATTGACTTTTCAAGATCAATTTAAGGAAGTGTATTTGAGACATAGAAAACTTTGTCATGATATCATAGGTAGTGTATCATTGTGACATAGATTATTACAACTAATAAGTTGTTAATACAAGATTGTCACATTTTTAGCTGGTGCTTATAATATTTTTTTTGCACATTGACTTTATCTTGTGCAGTACCCCTTTTACACTTCTATTGTTAAATCTCATCAGTAAGTGTAATATTAATTACTTGTGTTATTCTGAAATTTGTAAAAGGCTTACTTGTTATATGAATAACTTTTTTTCATTTCTGTGTTTTCCAATGCACTTTTATAAAACCTGGAATGACATTGGGAAAAAAATTACTTGTACCATTAATATCATCCACATATGTATTTAAATTTGGCTCTGTATAGATTTTTAAACATCTAGTTTAAACATCATATTTTAGCCTACAAATATTTTGTATTTTAACAGTTAATTTCAAACTGTGTGTTTAAAAGCTTGACAGAACTTTAGTTGATGTAAGTAATTGTGTCTGTTTAATTCAGGAGGCAATGGAGGTTTGTGGAATGGTAAAAGTGTGCCCACAATCAAATAAAACTCCCAAGGTATGCAATTTGTTTATGGAATTGCCTTTTAAAACTGAATTTTTATGAGGTACAATGATATAAACAGAATATACGTAATAATCAGTATTTGGAGCAGTTAAAATTGTTTTTAGGGTTTTAAAGAGATATTAAAGTGTTGAATAAACCTTGTCAGCTGAAACTTTGATTTTTATTACCAGATGTCTTATAAAACTAGGAAATGCATGAAATTAAAACATTTCTTGTTAAAGAAAATCTAATCAAAAAACATCTTAAGTATGAAACAAAAAGTGTGGCCAAAAAGTATTCAGTTGTTTAACTTTGGGCATGATGGTGGGTAAAATAAAATACGTGGTCTAGCTAACAAATGAATTAATATTTGTTGCAACATTCTTATCGATGCTATAAGTGTAGCTACCAGTTTGGCTGCCAGTTTTGATTTCATTCATTTAAATTGCACATTGAATCCTCTTTTTGGCCACACCTTTTTTCCACACCTAAGGTGTATTTCATTAGATATCACGACTTTTTGTCAATACACACCAACAAACCACAGCAACTAAGAAAGTGACACTCATTAGTAACCAACATTGGCCTTAGGATTGCAACCCTATTATTTGGACACAGACCTTTACTTTACGGAACCAAACAGATTCTTTAAAATATATATTGGTAGTTTTCCTCTCTGAAACAATGTTTATATCTTCCTATATAGTAACGCCTTGGAATTTAGATTAACAGTTTCTTGTCATCAACCCCATGCAATCAGTATAGCTGTATCAAGCATCATTATTTATGCTAATTGCTTAAGCTAATATTATGTGACACTAAACTCTCTTTAATTAGGATAATTTCATAAAATTTAATAGATCTTTGCTGAAAACTTGGCAGTGAATAATCAGTAATAACCATCCACCTGTATGATTCTTTTGAAAACTTTAGCTAGAAACAGCTAATATAGTTTGCTTGGCCTAACCAATACTTATGTATCTGCATATCCTTTCACTGCATAGTTCTGCTGCTCTAAATCAGTCATTTTTAATCTGAATAGCAAAAAATTAAAAATGGTCCACTTTTACTCTTAGATAAAGCTGTTGTAAAAATGTTAGATCAATAGGTCACGTGCATTTTGGGTAGGCATGTGCAAATATTTTTGTTAAATTTGAGTGGTTTATGTTGAATAATTTTGTACTTGTGGCTTATATATACACCAAATGAGACTCATATTTGTAGTTTGTAAAGATCTATCAGTGTACCAAATTTTAAAAATTTCCATAAAAGTTAAGTATGTCTTTCTATTAAATAAAGTTTCCACACTTTTGGTGCGAAAAGAAAAAAAAGGAAGAAACTCAATCAAAATTAGAGATGTTATATCTCTGGTATTTCTTGATGGATTATCTTGAAAGTTGGTATATGAAATAAGAGTACAGTAGAGCACAGTCACTGAAAATGTGTTGGTTTGGATTATCAAAGTCCGAGCTACAGAAGATGGAAAACAGCTAAACTTTTACTCGTGTTAATAACACACAGTATGTCCTGCACATTGTATACTATCAAAATATGGATTATTAGCTAAGATTTTATGCTATTCAAAAAGTAGTTTAATAAAATTTTGAATTTAAGACATTAAAACCTTTTGTCATGTGCAGTAAAGGGTATCTGGGGTGATAGGGTTAAGTATTGCCATCCTAACATAATTGAGGAAAAACAAGACAATTGTACTTTTACTCATGTTAATAACACACAGCTTTGTTTGAAAAATAAATTTATTGAAAATTTTTCACCAGAACTTTAATGTTTAAGTAGTTACACAAGAGCATAAAAAAAAAAGTCCAAAGTTGCAAAAAAATGCAAAGTATTGTCATCCTTACAGATTTGATGAAAAACAAGACATTGTACATTTCATAAATACATCATTTATTCACGACCATGGTTTTGCCAGTAAAGGCATCATGATGAATAAATGATATATTTTTGTGAAATATACAATTTTCTTGTTTTTGTCAATTCTGTAATTATGGAGTTTCATCAAGTATCGACAGTTTCAAGTATCAATTATATTGTCATCCTGATAGGTGTGTGTGTGTGTGGATATATGTTGTATCAAGAACTATCACAGAAATATGTTTATATGTCTGGTTTTGTTTATTTTCTGCAGTCCAAAAACATTCAAGTGGCTGATACTTTGACATGTGAGTTTTGTGAAAACCTTGTTCAGTATGTGAGAAACATAATTTCTTCAAACACAACTAAGGTAATTTTCTTGAACATTTATAAATAAAATTGTTGTACTTAATGAATGCCTGTATACCAACATTACAGCGTAATACATACAGCATGAAATCTATTGTCACATCAAGTTATTGAATTATTATGTTAAAATAATTTTGTTAGTGTACTTTGTTTGTCAATTGTCAAACTTTTTAAGATTTTCAGTTTCTTCTGTATCATCACTCCACTTTTTGTTTGAAATATAGTTGTACATGTTTCTGAAATTCAAAGATATTTCTTTTTTATGAAATGTTTTAAAACATCTTGTTAATGCTTTGTTCACAAGCGTCGTTAAATTGACTGACTCTGTATGTGAAGCTATACATAATGTTAACAATAATTCTGAATTTACTACATGTATTTTCACAAAATTTGGCAAGCTTTTAGTAAAGTTTACAAGACTGTTGTACATAAAAAATTAAATTTTTGATAACATACTTTTGTTGAATATTTGTCTGTGACTTTCTGTAGGCTTTATTGAGTTTGAGTCAAAATAGATTTTAATGCTAAGAATAAAAATATTGCTTTTGACTTAAACTTTCATTTTTATTTGCATAACTTCTAAAGTTGATTTTAAAAGTTTTTGTTCAGTAAAACTTTGCATTTTATTTCTTCTCTATACTAACAGAAAATGTAATGTACAGTGAAATGACTAGTTGAAAAATATGAAATAAAATGTATAATACAATTGTTTTTCTTCTGCACTGACTAGTATTGATCAGAAAGAAAGAAATTATCTTGTCAGCTTCTACTTCATTTCACATTTGCTTTCTTTTACTTTTATGGTGTTATTGCTATACTTTGGACCAACTACTATCGAACAAGTGTTCTAAAAAACAATAAATCACAGCAGGAGCCCATTAACTGTTTACCATATAGTTAATTTAAAACCACATGATTAAATGTGTTCTTTTACTCATTCTGAAGTTAGTGTAATTTTGTTTAAGAACATTTTGTTAGGCAAATCTGAGAATTTGATCATTTTTGAAACATATAATGATATGTAATAAATATGCATAAAAAAACAAGGATTCATAATCTTTGCTGTGAACTTGAAGAAGTTTGCACTCAAATAGACATTCTTCTTTCAGCCTCATTGAGTGAACCTCACAAATTTTAGTATCCAAAAAGTGTTTGTGTTGCTTTCAAATATGCATTTTAAGATGTAAAAACCATACTGGTAAATAGAATAGAATGTTCAAAAACTAATTTATCCAGGTTTCTAAGTAAGCTATAGATAAATCAACAAACTTCTTAAATGCTGAGAGCAACAAAAATGATCACCAAAACCAAACAATTCTATTGACTATTGCTTTATAGTTGGAAAACTAAAGCATGCTGCATAAAATTTAATGTATAGGAGAATATGCTGTTTCTGTTGGTTGTAAAATTTATCAGATTGATTAGCAAACAATATTGAAAGGCAGAGTGAGGGAAGGGGACTTTTCTGGTTGGTTTGACAAATTTATTGACATCTTGGCATATCAAGAAGGTAGTAGGTTCAAATGTAATGTTCCTTCTTGTAGTTATGTATAGCTTTTGTTTTACATTACTTGGAACTGTAGAAGTCTGTTATTGAAATTATAATATTCTGAAGTTGAGAAACAGGAGTTCAGATGCATAAAGTAATGCAGAAAAATTGAAGATTGAAAAGTTTTCAAGTATTTCTAAAAGAAATATTTAAGATTAAGAAGTTAAAACATATAAAAATATGAACTCTGTTTTCATACTAAGTTTGTTGTAATACATTGATAATATAGCTATTTGATTAAATTTTGAATTTAATACTGTAAAAGGTCATGAAATGTGCAAAAGAATCATTTCTGGAAGTGAAAGGTTAAAATAAGAAACTTCAAACAACTTTATGATAAGTATTTCAAGTATTATTTAAATCCTCCGGGAATCTTAAAAAATAATGAATGTTTTTCATTGCAGGAAGAATTCAGGACTGCTTTGCATAACTTTTGTAAAGACCTTGGTGAAATGAAAGATAAGGTAGGGGAATAAGCATCACTATATGAAAAAGTTTAACCCCCCCACCCACCCAAAATATAGAATTTATACCTTAAACTAATTTTTGTGATTTTTGTATGGGATAAGTATATGTAGGCCTTGTTTTTACAGATAAAATCATTGATAGTACTTTGTAAGTTGCTTGCTATAGTTTTTGTGCAGAAGAATGTCTGATGTGAAATGCTGGTAAAAAAAAATTTTTATTGTAGGTTAGTTCATCTTTATTTTGAAAATGTGTTTTATAATTCAGTACATTAAATTAATATTATTGGTATTTTTCTAAATTTTAATATTTTTGAAACAAGTCCATCTTCTAAAGCACAAAAAATATTTATAAAATTGTTTTATTAAAAATTAAACCTTTTTTGAAAAGAGAAGATTAACTGTTACTAAGATTACATAGAAGAACTGTATGGTATAAAAACAGATATGTGAGTACCAAATAATTTGTTTTGATGAAATAAACAAAACAGTCTAATCTTAGTTTTATCAGGGAGTGCAGTAGAGATGTAGGGATGGGTTCGGTTAAAAATGGTGGCCTTTACCTTGCGTATGGTTGTGCATACGTCAAGATGTTGGCAAAACCCAGCCAGAGGAATAGAGACAAAAAGCCCTTCACTGATCAAGTATAAAACTGCCTCTAAAGTTTGGCTAACCGTCCTTGACGTCTAGAAAATGGGTTGCAAAAACATAATTTTTTTTTCTTCTTCTCAGTCAGCTGTAACTTGTAAACATGGTGTGCCTATGACCAGTCTGCACACCAAAACACTTCAATACTCCTAGTATTTCCCCTTTCATACCTAGAGCAGCAAGTGATCCATGATAGGCTAGTTACAGCCCAATGTAGTAATCATGGTCTCTGATCAATAAACCATTATGTGTGTTATGTAGATGTAGCTAATCTACTGTATGCTCCTTGCTGCACTGTGCGTGGATCCGATATTCTGGTGTTATGATTAGAGATTGGATTTGTAACATTGCATATATTACAGGTTTGTTTACTGGCTCGATCATATTTTAATAAGTACTTTATGCCGTGCAGATGAAGACCAAGAGTACCACTGTAAAACGAATTTTCCCATGTGTATACACTATATAGGGATTTTCTCATGTGTATACACTATCTACTGTCTTGGGGCTTTCCTTGTTGAAGTACGGAAGCACAATTGTGAAAAATTGCATGCACACATTAGTGCTACTATCCTTGTTGCATGCCTCTGAATAATGGACAGGTGAGAACAGATGAGACCCAGGAGTGGAAATCTTTGGTGGCAGTATGCAAGCATATCCTGGTCATGACTTATCTTGATTCAAGAAGTAATATCTATAGATTATATTATGGCTTCCTATTGAATAGAACTGAATAAATTGGTGTAATGGTGCCTTTCCCCAAGAAGTTACAGCCCCACTGGAAGTCAAGACTTCAACTCGTAAAAAATTGCAGAAATTAGAAAGAAAAAATGTTATTGTAAAATTGTTTGGATGTAGGAATGGGAAAAAGATTTTCCTCTCATCCCAAGTTCTCTCTCGTTTCTAATCTTTTCCCCATTCCTACATCCCAGCAATTTTACAATAAAATTTTTTATTAGTTAAATTATATGTTCAGTGCAGATAAAGTTTGATACTTGTTTTGTGTTTGCTTACTTAGCCAACAGAGATATGGTGCTAAGAAAAATGGTGATTGCAGCTTTCTGTAGTTGCAAAATGAATTTTTTAAACCCAGAAATAGCTGTTATAGGAAATAAAACTTTTTTATTTTTTAAATTTGAATATAGAACTTGATTTAGTATTATTATGAAATTATTTTTCCTAAAATAAGTCCACTAGTAAGTGATATTACTTTTGGTTAACTTTAACTCATTGTAATAGGTCAATTTGATTTTTATTGTAACTAAGCTTTAAAAAAACAAACAAATGTCAAAAAAACATAAATCTAACTGCCTGATTAAAATGTAATGGTGGTTGACTGTAGGCCCAGTTGGCAAATTTTGCTGTTGAAAAATAGCTATAAGAGCTTAAATAGTAACTTGTAGGTTAAACATATTGGGTTTACATTTAGCAATCAGTTTATTTAGCAAACTAAGTTAATTAGTTGCTTAAACAAATTTTAATAATTAATATTAAATATCTTACATGAAAAACAAATAAAAAGAAATGTGACTTCAAGACCCGGTCTTGAATCCAGGATACTTGACTAACAAAGCCAGTGCTCTGCCACTGAGCTATTCAAGAGTACAAGTCATTGTCATTAATCTTTACTTTAAGCCTCTCACTTTGAATATGATCACCATACCATGTAATGATAGGTACAAAGACTAAATGATAGGAGTATATCAGGCTTACGGTTATTTATTTAAATCTGTTAGGAACCAGTGAAATTATAATATTATTATTCAATAATAATTAATGTTAAATATTTTACATGAAAAAACTGATGACCAAAAAGTGATTCTGAAAATTAGACTTGAACCTGGGACCTCTGGCTGCCATAAATTGCTGTTTAAGTTTTCAGAAAATTTATTGCTTATTGAGAAAGTTTCAACAGGCTTTTATCTGTTAAGCATTTATATAAGCTAGTAGTTCCAAACATTTTTTTTCAAACAAACTCAGATGGGTAGAATCCTATTGAATCTCCCAAAATAAAATTTTCATTTTAAATCTGTTTTTGATTGACTAGAAAATACAGAGATTGCAAAAATTTTTTTATTAAAGATATGTTTACCTTTAATTTTTTGTTTAAACATATGTTTATACTTTGTAGTGTGAGAAGATGGTTGATGAGTACTTTGATGTGATTTATGACTTTATTCTTAATGATTTGGTGAGTATTTTTTGTGAAGATTTATTGCTAGATTTTATGTACTTTTGATACTTGTGATATATTAAGTATAATAATACAAGATTTCTCTTCAGCAGTATGAGATTGATTAGAGATAGTGGTATTTGTATTTGTTCAGACTTTATTTTATTACAAATAGCTGTTTTTTGTGCAAACATTTATTAAGATTACAAATAGTGTTTTTATGGAAGCTTTTCTTTAAGAGATTGATTATAAATAGTGTTTTGTTTTTGTACAAATTTTTTTTAAATAATGAAACCACCAACTAGTAACTAAATGCAGCATTATTTTATGAATTATATGCATCAAGTTTTTATTGTGACTTGCCACTTTCCTTGAACGTTTTTATGTAATGTCTTGTTTTTTGGGTTTTCTCTAGATTTATTTATTTATTTTTCAATGCTAGATTGTGTTTTTCTTGTTGTACATATGTTCAGTACTTGTAGCTGATAGATATAGTTTAGTATAGATGTTTCCCATTAATTTACTTATTCCTCATTTTATTCACTTCCTAACAACAACAACAACAACTCAGATTGGTTTGAGTGAATCACATTTAGTTTTGCTATAACAGATTAATCATGCTACAATGATTAAAAACTTGTAGTTGTTCGTCTTTATGTTTTTTTCTTGTATTTGACTTTTTAAAGACAACCTTGTTTTTTTGTTTTTACTGCATTGCTGTCTTAACTTTGCGCTTTGACAGTTTATTCTGTCATAATAGTTTGTCTGATACAAACGAGTGTTTTAATTTTTTTGCTTTATTAATACAAATAAAACATTGTTTTAGGATCCAAAGTCTTTCTGTTCTGCAATTGGATTGTGTGAAAACATCTCAGTAGGCATGGTCAAGATCCTACCAGCAGTAAAGATGACTTCTTTTCAACCACTAGTTAAGTTATTTCCAGCAGAAATAGCACACAGACAGGATAAGTATGGTCTGTACAAGAAAAACCTTGATGAATCTAGTAGTATTGAAGGTAAATATGAGATTGAAAAAAAATCCTTTTATTTGTCACAGTGACTACTGCAAAAACTTTGTTAAAAATGCTATTTCATTTTCTCTCAAAATCCTGAAAATAGAGATGTTGGTACAGGTTAGACATTACTGATTGTAGATAACTCATCAAGGTCATAAAAAAAGTTCCATTTGTTTTATAACAGCAACGTAGGAAAATTATAGTACCTTGTGTAATAGTAGGCATAGTTTTTTTAGAAGTTTTAAATATAAAGTAGTTATTAATTTTCTGTTTGGAATAAAACAATAGCTTTTTGTTCAGTGTTTCAGAGAACAAGTAATGTTTGAAGTATGATTGTGTAGCTCTTACTTTTTTTTATTAATTTTATTTTACTGTTATAACTATTAATTCTGTTATAAACTTGTATTCTTTGTTGAAGGTTTTTAAAAAATAATACACAATAATTAGGTAAGGCTTTGTTTAGCTCTTATTTGTGTTTTTGGGACAAGAAGCCTGAAAATTACTTCTCAAAATATTTGATATAACTTTTGAAGTAAGTTCATACTGATTATTTTATCATGTTAGATCGAAGCTCTCTCCAGTTGCCAGTAAATCGGCTCATGGTGCCATATTTCATCATGAATCAGGATCTAGACTGTGCAGTTTGTCAAGCTGTCATGCATTTTGTTGAGACAGAAATTCATAAAGTGGATTTAAGAAGTAAAGTAAGTGTCACCATTAAACATAATAATATGGTAAAAAATTCTACCAAGATTGTGGATAGGAGGGCTAAGCCTGAAACATGCTGGTTTGAAATGAAGTACTGTATTTGAAAGGCTAGGCATGTAACATGGCCGTTATAAACTGATACTACAGATTAAAGAGAGAAATGACAATTTTCTTTATGACAAATGGAGGCAACATTATAATACTTCATCCAGTGCTGTCTGTTGTAAAGTACATCTAAGTGACTGTGCATAAATACCTGGGTAGATAGATGCAGTTTAGTCACCAAATGTAGTAAGAGAAACAAACCTGTATAAAGCATTTCAGTGCAAAAAATTATTAGTGGATTTTACCAAAGCATGACAATCTTGTGAGATGCTATGTGTAACCTTAAAACAAATATCCTAATGTTTTAAAAGCTCCTTTCATCATTAAAAAACAAGCATGTGTGATATTAGTTATATTGCAGTATATTCTTCTTATCTCTTTCACTGCAGTTCTTATGCAGAACCTTTTTTTATAGTTTTATTAATGTTGCAATTTTTACTACATAGTTTCAAAGCCAATACAACGTGTTGTTTATGATTTTACTGTAGAATTCTTTGTTTTATGATGACACATTCATTTACTTCAAAAAATGCTCATGCAAAATTTGTAAGCTTACTAATCTGTTATCTAGTTTATTTGATATTTACTCATCTTGATATACAAACAACTAATACAATGTTTATGACATTGAGTATTCAAAATTATTTGAGAATTTTTGTAGCTTTTTCAACAGTCACTCATTTTATTTTTATGGGATAAAAGGGAAGGAAACCTTGTACAAGTTAAAATATAGTTAGTCTTTTTTTAATTTTTCATCAATAAATGAAGCCCAGAATTTATCCCAAAACTTTTGTGAAAACATGTTATCCTGCTAAAGATATGCAGTAGTCATATGACCTGCACATCATATAACTAATAGAAAACTGTTATTTTCTTGCATTATGTACACAGCCAAGACAGATACCTTTCTCTGGGAATATATGGAAAGAAGTTTGTTATTTGCTATAGATTCTGTGAAACAATGTGTACATACAAACAGGACATCATTCCATTGGCATTATGCCACAATTCAGTGAAAATACATTTTTAACCAAGAGTTACAAGAAAGAAGTAACCAATGAAACTGAAGTACTGATTGACTAAGAAGAAAGATAATTTACACCTTGTATCTAGAACTATGTTAATAAATGATCAGCTGTTCAGATTTTGAGTGGTTGATATCAATCCACTGGAAAAACAAATTTTTTTTGTGATGTTTACAACCATGAGGCAGTAAGTACTTCATGTTTGTATAAGTTAAGTCCTCCATTTAACCCTGTGGTTACAGGCAGTGCATTTCATGAGATTTTACTTAGTTACATTCAAAATTCAATTAACTCTCAACACGGGGTCAGTCAATTTGACCGAGTCACATGAACTTTTGTACTCGTTTAAAGTCTTTATAAATTTAATACTTATAACACTCAATATTCATTAATACTCTTAATAACTCTTTTTCAATCAAAATCACAAGTCTTTCACATACAAAGTTTGTTTGTTTGTTTGTTTG